GGTTTAGGTCCTGCGAGGGGCAGGGCTTTGAACAGCACCGAATGACCTTTAAGTAAGCCATTTCAGTTCAAAACCTCATACAAATGGGTGATACTCGTTTTAACCTCAGCTGTAACCGAGGCTACAGCTTGCTCGTTGGCCTGACCAACAGCTGAAGCCGCGGCCACTTTTCGAGATGGCGTAGCCTCCGTCGGGATTCGAACCCGGCTCTCCCACGGGGTGGCACAAATCCCTCCCAACTGGGCGATCACGTCCCCCACTAAAGACAAGGCCGCTGCTGAAACAGCATAATGGGGGCTCAACCTTCAAGCACCTACCCAGACAGCACCACACCAATGCACACCAACGCTCGGCGAGATCAAAGGCCGCCGGGGAAGGTATCCATACATCCTCATATCCATCCACATATATATGTCCATGTTCCTATTCCTCAGCATATGCCGCTAAACCCCATCAAAACACAGGTCACTCTCTGCTTCAGTGCACACAACACAATACGCAACAGCTGACAAGGTGACGTCGCAGTGAGCATACGCTACGACATGACAGTGACCTTGATCAGTGATCAAGTCACCAGCAGTGGTGCACAATGCCACCTGCTACTCACGGTGACACTACACGTAATCATTCGCGCATGATCACAGGTATGTTTGAATGTTTACATGGCATGTCATGCACGAGCATGACAAACTACGCACATAGTGCGTACATTACAGGACCAAGGGCCAGGGGATTTGCACACAGTTACGCCCATAGCGGGTCCAATATAGGACCAGGGGCCAGGGGATGTGCATACAGTTACGCCCATAGTGGGCTCATTAAAGCCGTATCAGCATGTCTGTGAGGCGCTCCCAGCGCCACCTACCAGCATGCAGTCCTCCATGGCGCGCGCTGGGCACCAGTGGAACATGCCCGTGCTGTCGTACTTCATCTCCGTCTTCTCGAAGTCGAAGTCCTTGGACTGGTCGTCGGCGATGCCGGACTGGATGCCGCCGGGACCGGCGTTGGCACCGCCGGCGGCTCGCGACGCCGGGCTGGGGTCACGCGTGTCACTGGGTCAGGTTACGCCAGGTCACAGGGTCACGCCAGGTGACGTCACGGGGAGCATGGCGCGTGCAGGAAGAGTGTGGAGGCGGCGGTGGTTATGCATATGTTTTTGCGATGTGCACGTGTGTGTGTGGTTTGTTTCATCGATCTAACCAGGGGCATACTCATACCAGCTATCCCATCACTTCTTATTCGCATTGACATTCAGTGTTTCAACATATTCATTTTGGTGATGGGCTTGGCGCTGGAGAAGATGTTGATTGTGCACTGAAGAACAAAGTGGCGAAATGTCCATGCAACCCTCGTAGTACCAACCATCTTAAAGCTGTGCGTTGAAACAGAACAAGCATTTGCATAACTTTTGCGGCGCGTAGGAGTAATAAATTATTCAGAGGGAAGAACACGGGTACTTGTTCCTTTGCCGGAATGGCTTCGTTTCAAACAGCGATTTTCATCAGTTAGGGACAGTTCCATTCATCCATAATGAACAATGATTTCTTTGTTGCCATAACACATGCGAACCGGAACCAAGTTCACCGTAATAAACATTCCAGCATTCTGTAATGCGCTCTGCCAAACGGCATTGCGCATGGCAACAGAACCCGGGAGACAGGACCTGGGAGAGTAGCGGCGCGAGATCCCTGACGTGAACAATTTGGATTTGGCTCTGTTATCAAGTCCAAAAGTTGTCTCAGTTCTGAGTGGAGGCATACTTCTTTGTATCGCGAGGACATTTTGCTTACATCGAACTTAACAATATTCTGGAAGCTGGGTTTTATGTCTGCCCAGACGGGTTACGAAAACGTGCATGTGGCATCATCAGAGTGGTTCCCCCCCAAAAAAAGACACCGTTAGCGTTAACCTGTCCAAATCCAAGTTTTAATAGCCTCGCTAGAAGGCGAATTCGAACAGTGACAATTTTGAACGATAACGCACATTTCTACAACCGGTATCTTCACTGCAAAATGAAGAAGTGTACTAGACGACCCGGTACGTTCCAACACCATCGACTTATCGGCCAAAGAGAAAAAAACTTTGAGCCAAAAAAGGAAACAGGAAGTTCGAGAATAAAAACGGGATGGCCTTCCCATTTATCCTCCAAACGAAATGAATCACAGAGAAATCAGGCAGTCATGGAGACCAGGAAGTGAAAATGTCATGCAATGCAATGCCCCGTTTAAAGCATGCCTGTTGCGCCGCTATCACCAGTGGATGCTCTCCTCATCATCGTCAAGCCGGGCTGTCTTATATCAATGACCTCTGAAGGTCATCATCATCCTAGCAACCCAAATGTTCAGGCTGGCGAAATGGTACCTCTTCCCTCTCTGCTTTCTCCATTTGCCAGTTCCGCTCATCAAACGTTTTGAAGAAAGCTTACGGTAAATGACAGACTCGGTCCGGGTCATGTGCCAAAGGAAACACCGAAAACGTCATGAATTCTCGAGCTATTGGCTTACAGCCAAATAACTCGACTGTCAGATGCCTTGACTTACTGTCTTGGGTTATTGCTACAACTTACCGACTTTTGAAAACAAATTTCGGGAGTTTTTGCAGGAACTCATTTGGAATTAAAGCAATTCAAAAGTATGGTCTGTCTACAAAAAAAATATCATCCCACAATTCTATCAGTGCATCAGTTCGCGGAAAACAATTTTACCCGAAAATAATTGATAAATGATGGTAAGGAAATAAACACGGCCACCCAGTTCCGACCTGAATACCATAGCTGGTTTCCGTATGAGGTCATACACACCAAGACGTCATGCGCGACACTGGTCCATGCCTGCAAACCAATATTTCAATTTGTTCGCCAAACTCGCCTTTTTCCAACAAACGTCCGACACCAGCTCTTGAAAGTAAGCGAAAACAAAAATATAGTAAATTCAGAAAACTTACATGTTGGAACGCTCAAATGAACCATAGTACGGGGACTTGAAATCCACGAAACCAGCATTGTCCGAGTTAATCAATATCCCGTTGCATTGCGCGCTGTTGTGATGCTGACCTTCAAGCGACCCCACGCTGGAAAGCAAACTGATAGTAAAGATCACACGAAGACAGAAAAGATAATGACGCCACGTCACAAAACAGCAATTGACGTCACGGCGTGTTAAGAGAGGAATGATGCGAGGAGTGTCCATGGAATCCATTTGGGCACTTGAAAACAAATCGACTTTTTGAAGAAAACGTTTGCGTTGATTGTTTTTAGCTCGTGCAAGGTTTTTATGAAACTTACGCCAGCATTCCTGTCGTCAATTGTCATCGCATTGCCTTCTTCATGTCCATTTACCGTAGCATACCCTAACCGTAGCATTCAACGTCCACTAGCACCGCGATCTCCTCAAGGTCAATATACCGTTCTTTCTCCTTGAAACAGACCGTTAAGCGTCACCAACAAATGCAACATTGCTTGAGATTTCCAGCGCAGTCAGCGCTGACATTGTCAGCAGGCGCCTGCTGAGCCGTGCTGAGCTGAGCTGAGCTGATCAGCACAAGAGCAGAACAGCAGCAACAGCAGCAGCAACGGCAGCAGCAACAGAAGCAGCAGCGGCGGCGGCGGCAACGGAGGCGGCGGCGGCGACCGCGGCGGCGGCAGCAGCACGGTTGCAAAGCTAAAAGAAGCGATCTCCGAAACACGAAGGCGGCACAGATGCTGACTAGCGACCAGCCGCCTTCCGCACACGTACCGAACCTGCAGGCGCGGCCATGGACACGACAACGAACGACAGAATGCCAGAGTACCTCGCCTAGTCTATGGGAAGGTTCGGATGCATTCTGATCAGACCAGCTGGCTACCGTTTTAACGAAGGCTTATCGTGCAAATTGCTTCCAACATTTTCGAGCATTGCCAAAATTGCGTGAAATGTTCAGGTTTGTAGAAAGTGAAGCCTTTTTTCGGCTAAGCGTGCTTACCTCATCTAAGGAAGCTTCTAATGTAAGCCTCCACCGACAAACAACAACCAGGCTGAATGGATTTGAGGCACAACTTAAGCATGCGAACCACGATACGCCTTCGCCAAAACAGCCGAAACCGACGAGCAAGCCAAGAGCAACGATACACATCGACAGTGGTGGCAACTGCGGCGATCCGTGTCATTCTCGACATCCGGCCTGGGCGCATCGGCTAGCTACGACAAAAGGGCGGACTAAAAGTGCTCGTACAGGAGCTTTTTCACTTCGTAGGCCAGAGGCAGCGCCTGATAACCGGCTGGTGCCGTCTCTTCTGGGAGCCTGCAAGGCCGGGAGACACGGTTACCCGGGCTGGCGCAGGCAGTAAGCAACAGGCTGGTTAGCGGCTGGTTTCCGAGTGGTTACTGGGTGGTCACCACGGCGTTGTTGTCGGGGTGGTTAGTGCAGGGGCGGTTACCACATCTGGTTAGCGTTTGGGTAACCGGGCTGGCAAGGCGGGGGGTTATCAGACAGGTCGCCGAAATTGTTACCACGGTGGCTACCAGGGCGGTTGCTGTGCCTGCTAGCGGTTTGGTTACGGGGCTGGCCAGCGGAAAGTTGTTGGGGTGTTCATAGTTAGGGTCACTGGTGTGAGCGCCTGCGCTCATGGCACACAGACCCAGCGGTCATCAAACTCGGCTAGGCCATTCGGCAATTCCCTGCAGGGGCTATCAAACCCAACGTTGACAGGATTACGCGCCGGAAGAATTCATACCAACTGTCCACGGACCATAAAGCAGCGGTCAGAGGCAGCTGCTCGAGACACTGATTTCGCGAGGCTAGAGGCCGTAAAATGTGACGTCAGGGCACGTGGGAGTCATAGAACACAGAGAGAAAAAACTATAAACATGGTGACGTTTTTCTTCCCTACATCATTAGACTGCGATCTGATATGGCCCTAAATTTGAAACGCACCAAAATTAAGTAAGCAGGAGCGTATACTATAGCTTTGGCAATAAAACTATTAAAATAGCCGAACGTTTTTACCGTCGAAAGGCATTTTTGTTCAGTATGTGAACATAAGGCATTGTGCAATTGTAGCGCTTTACGATTTGGTCTCATGTGTCCAAATCTACAAGTGCAAAATATGGAATTGGCACACGGTGACGGAACAGACACGCTTTGGGTGCAAAGTTAAGCAGCCATTTTGCTAGGAGAGCCCATGACGTACGACGACTTTTGCCCTTTTTGCCCCCTTTTGTGTGTCCCATTTTCTGTACCTTTCAGAGTTGGTATCAAATAAGGTGGCATGCAATAATTTTAGCACAAGAGGGACAAATAGCCCTCTTCATGTTGACGTTATTAAACAGCGACATAACTTGACAACAATACTGAGTTTACGACGACTCCAACAAACTGGAGCCAATGCCTTGCGATGTGATATAGATTCCTCCAATACCTAAAATTATCTGGGAACACTAGGGCCCTAACGAACCAGGGGCGATGGTAAATGTATTTTGCTACCAGCACCAAATAACACAAGTTTTCTACCCGGTAGTGGTGCGTCCCACATTAATACAAGTCAGTGATCGAGGTCAGCTCAAGGTCACACAGTCAGGTAGTTCAAAGAAGATGAATTATCCTGCCCGTCGAAATGTTGTAATCTAACCTAACTAAAACATCAGCACGATCCGTGCATGTGTTCATAACATGCATGACACACAACATACATTAAACAATTCAAAAAGTTGTTTGCGGCCGATGCTTCCAGCCGACAAATAAGCTATTAATATCAGATTTTTTCATTCCAATATCACGTACGGCTGGGTCCGCTCAAGGAGTCACATTGCCGCATTGGACTCTTTGTGGTGTTGCACCCACTTTTGCGTAAAACTTTGGGCAATGAACTAGAAAACTAGTTTAAATTCTCGTATAAATTACAGAACGCCGCACGAATGCTCAACCTTCCCTAGCTGACGTCGATTTGAAGTGATGCTCTAGGCCCCCAACCGCACTTAGATTGACAAATAAATATTTTTGATCCAATACTGTCAGTCGGTAGGCTAAAACCGAGGCAAGCTTAGCTTAACCTCAGCATGGGCGGGCAGCTGCAGGGATTCAAGGCAAAATGCAATCAAAATTTGAGAAAAAATTGTTACGCTGGACCTATGTGTAAGATGGAAAGAAAAACTGTCCCATGCTTGGCACCAACCCTGGGCATGTTCTTTTCACTACGAACATCACTCATGCTTCGGTCATTGCGAATAAGTCCGCGAGCCGAAAAAAATACGGGCGAAATTCCCACCGTTCTACCGTCAGCCAGCTGATACAAACATATCCTTATTTCAGGGTGCTTAAGCACTTTCGTCTCTTCGTCTTTTGTCTATTTCCTCTCAAAAGGGAACACTACAAAGGTAAATGGCTTATAGGTACACACTGACATTTCGCTGTCTGTCACCGAATATATTGAGTATATGCTTTGAGTCACAGGTCTTGAAAACATTGCTGACAGGCTAATGTTCAATAACCAGCATATCTACATTTACTTATTTATCTACACCACTAACGTTGTTACCAGAACATTGGTAGGAAACATCTTATCAACCCAGTCGTTTTATGCAAACTATCGATGCAGTTTCCCGAACACAGAAAGGGCGCTTACCATCAGGCTCATGCCCTTTTATAACGGCTGGACACTGTATAATGCAATTCTTGCGGCATGTACCGGTCCTCTTCTGCTATCCCACATGTCCGAGAAAACCGCCATTTAACCTCGGTTTACACACTTCTAAAGTGAAGCAAGCTCTCCGTTGGTGGAGTTATGAAAACTCAGAAATAACCTACGGAAATGCATACCCCAGCTACTTGCATTCCATACTATCAGATACGCCCAACACATGCCTCATCATGAAGCAAGTCTCGGAAGTAAATACATTGTCACGCCCGTGACGTAACAGTAAAATATCATCTGCCGATCCCTCGTGAACCAAACCGGCATAACATGTCAAATGTCATCAAATCATTATCGTACCCACACCGGAACCTGAGCCGTGCCGCATCTGTTGCCCTCCCGGACCCAAAAGCTGGACGGCCTGTATCCCCTCATCCGAGTTAGGCCCAGTGCATCGTGCTCCCTAATCTCCGTACCGCAGGAGGCCCCACTCTCCGCCCTTGCACCTGCTGCCCGTGACTGCTTGCTGTGCGCCTGAACCCGGTCCAGACCCACTATCATACCCCACAACCAGGGCCCAACATGACCTGTTGCCCCCCTCCCCCTCCCGGACGTGATTCCAAACGCACCCACGAACCTCCGCACCCGAGTAACCAGCCGCCCCCCACCCACTGACCCCCTCGGCCAGACGTCAGCCACACCCCCCACCCCTCCCTGCACCGCACCTGTTGTATCCCTGGACCTGGGAGCTGATGTCCGACCCGTTCTTGTTGATCTTGGTGAGCTGCTTGGCCGCCTCCAGCAGGCCGCCGCTAGGCGAGGCCTTCACCGCCGCCGTGCTGTTCTGGTTCGACAGCGCCACTGGAACGAGCCGGCCAGGTCACGTGACCCGGGCTCTGACCGGCGGCGCCAGGGCGTCCGGGCGGCGTCGGCCCCGTGGTGCCGGAACGGAGAACACTCCGCGAAGCGCCAGAGGAGTGGAAAAACTGAGTCCGTCGGCATCTTTCCCTACATGACCAGCAACAGCAGTAACAAGCGAAAATGACTGAACGAGAACGGTACGACTCGGATCGTTCGTCCCCTTCGAGTTTACAACTCTACCGCTTTACGCATGCGCGCTTCGCTCGACAAGAGTCGCCCAGCGGCACCCGGAGGATCCGGGCGCAAACCCTGGTGTCTTTCCGGTGTTGGCCTGCGGAGGTGAGCACACTGGCCTTCGCTCTTACAACGCTGCCATCCGGGCGGCCTGAGACCGAATTACGGCCCGTGACAGTCTGAAGGCGACCATTCGGGAGAACGGAAAATACCACGATACATGATTTCAATCGGCGTTAAGTGTCAGAGGGTTTTACACCGAAGCTCAGAACACGGTACTCGCAGCTCACAGATCGACTTGCAACGGTTGCCACGCAACCGCAGAAACGATGAGAAAGCACTTTGCCATCACCTGGCATGACCTTCCGACCCTCCACGCGTGGAGGTCGGTCACCATTTCGGTGTCGCGCAGACATGACCTGCTGGGAAGCATCCGCATGCGAGAAGCGTGGTTGCATAGACATGCGGTAATAAAGACAACGCGGCGATGCGATGTTAAGCTAAGTTTGACACGAGAGAGTGCCAGACTATGCGGCGGAAACTGTTTTGTGTTTGCTACATTGCATTGGAGTGTGTACGGGAAGACCTTGATGAAATGGTAGATGTCCATCGTTCGTGCACTCTACACGGAGAGATTGTTTTGCTATTCAGCTAGCATTTCAAGAGCACGTTAATCAATGCCAAACCTCTTTTAAACTCGTTCTTATTCATTTCAAGTTCACTTCCCTTTTACCTTCGACTTTGTCCTTAACAGCAGTGTGACTGGGGGAAAACTATTGAGAACTATTTCAAACATCGGTTTGCATGCACCATAAGCCCAGAGGGTACGTAACGTTCCGATTTCGACATGTGAAACACATGCGGTTGCTTAACTTCACGCGCAAGTAAGTACACTGACGGTATCCAGTCCATGTGTGTACATGAGCAAAAACTGTATGGCGATCTAAACATGGAAATGAGCATGCTAATTACAACATACAAAGTAAACGAATCATTGCAACGAACGTGTGAGTAATCAGCGAAGTATGAACAACCAACACCCATCCATATCCACTTAGTGCAGGCTGTAGTCCGAACAGCATCATATGTACAGATAATCCGGACTGAAGGAAGAGTTGTTCGCAGTTGAAAAGAAATTCTCACATTTCCGTGAAGAGTTATAGGGAAACCGGTGCATACAGTGCGATACGTGTTTCCAAGAATTCAAGAAGAATACCGTGTCAATAGGATACCGCCTGACCAATTTCCTAGTCCGAATACTTGGTTCTCAACACGTTACAACCTTTTGCCCTTGCCCGGTGACTTACCCACAAGCCTACCGTGTACACTCTCGCCCGTCAGCTGTCTGTGAGATGGTATTCGTTCATGCTTGTGTAATAAACCATTCCAAGGCACTTATGGAAGCCCTTACGTTATGGAAGACCGGCACTGGGGTAGTGTACAGGGTTACCAAATCAGGAGATGACTGAGATTCTGCTCTGAGACAACTCAGGCACCCTCGGGAAGCGGAGGACTGTGTCATGGCCGCTGAACCGGATCCTGCTGTTGGCAACGGGGCGCAATAGTGGTGTGCTGCCAAGGCCTATTGGCAATGGGGCGCAAAAGTAGTGTACCGGATTCTGCTACTGGTAACAGGGCGCAAAAATGGTGTAGCGGGTTCTGCTGTTGGTAACGAGGAGCAATAGTGGTGTATCGGACTCTGCTATTGGCAAAGGGTCGCAGTATAGGGACGGGAGCAGTGAGATCGTGATAGTGCTGAATACGAACTAAACGGTCGCTGGTTCATGTTCACGACTTTGAGTGGACTTTTGGTTTCAGTTTCAGGACTTTTTGGTTCAGTTCATAAGCTTTCAGTCCAAAAAGTATACAACTGAGGCACTTTTTTACAAAAGTTTGACAAGTATCATTAAATTTGGGGCCGCTTGTACTCGACAACGGCAGACATGAAACAGCAAGCACAGAGGCTAAACACCGCTATGCCCCTATAATCTATCACGCGGCAGCTATTTCTAATGGTCTGAGGCATACCAGCGACGAGGTGGGAAACCACACTCTCGTTGTCTCTTTTAAGATATTCACTGCGATTATATTTAGGTTCATGCTTGTTGCTCGTACCCAGGAGCGTTGCGTCTCGTCCCATTCCAGCACTCTACAAATGAGGCACGCGGTGGAGTGGGCGTCCCGTCAGCTGTTGCTGACCCCCACCTGTACCTCAGCTCACGATCCAACTACTGAATGGCTAGCAACCGGTGTGGGGCTTCATTCCGTCTACCTAGGCGTCATGAGCATCTGGCGAGCAGGGCCCATTCCGGCTAACTATGGACGGTGGTAGACACACCGCCTCGACTACGTCTGATCTCCTCTTGAAAGGGAAGTTTCTGTTTGGGCTTCGACGTGTTGCTTTTGACCGCAGCCTTATGAGTCGAATTACAATGTACACGGCGTTCGTATTGGCGCACAAAACAGTGCCAGCAGTAGTCATTAACGGCATGTCACCCAAGAGGCTCTTGCCTCATAGCCGGACACAACCGTGCACACAATTTTTGAGGCTTCCAAGATTGCAGTCGGAGCAACACATCGACACCGAGCAAAAGCATTTCCGAGCTGAGGGAAGCCAGGTCTGTTTGCAGCTGACCTTCAAGCCAGCGCCATCCCAACTAGGAATAACTAGCAAAAGGCGAACTTGGCCTCGAACACGCAAACTACGAAGGCAAAAATCCAAAGCGCCAACGTGACTTACACCCGTTGGAGTCCACCTTTTCCGCTTGGTACGGCAGAGAACGAGTTCAGTACAACACAAAGACGCGGGATTACACATTGCACAGACACCTTCAGCACCTTTACACCGGCAACTTTCCCGAAAATGAGACACCAGCACACGCACAGCACGGTCCGGGGCTGGTCGAGTGTGCTGTGGAGCATCTGACGACACGAGATGGTGGTACAAATGAGCTCAACCACATTTGTATGGATGAAAACAAAAAAATGTTGCACATTACTGGACGCGAAGTAACAGATACTACGCGTCGGCAGACGACCACGGGATAACTAAATGGCTGCACGTCTGGCTGGATGGAATCACTTTTTTCGGCTCGCACTCCGCCATCGAATGGAATCGGTAGCAGATCACACAGGATGCCGTCTCTTGACATTACATGATAAATGACACTGACTGGTAGCACAGGTCTAGAACACACATAACGAACGATTCTGCAAGTATGTACAATGACTTGCATGCAAGGTTGCACACGGTCGACACACTACGATTATATCGACGATTCGTCATTGAAGTGGGCAGCACAAATATGTCAATAAATAACTTATGTTGTATGGATTAACAGCAGCAGCGAAAGAATCATATTATGATGACGTTTTGCAATAAGCTTATCGGAGAATTCCGAGAATGTATACGTGTGGTAGGCCGTCGTTAGCCACAAAGTCAGACGAGAAAATATTGCTGTTAATACTGGACTGAAGAGAATTTAGAGTTTGTTGTAGTCAAATTTATTCGCATTTTTTTGTTTTATAAGAAGATATAAGGAGTGTGTTCTCATCTATTGAACTCCAACGGCAGTATAGTCGACAGGTCGACATAAGAGACGTACATCAGCATGCTGGTAGTGTACCAAAATTCCCGTAGGTACAAAATTGTTCGCCCTATATTTCATTAATTTTGATAAAAGCGCATAACGAAGCGTGGGTAAAACTGGCATTCACATAAACTCTTCTTGATCACTACTTCCACCATGCGTGCATTCACAGGGTACTACTGTCCGGGGCGAAACTGTGGCCGCCGACCTGAACCCACTGGCGATAAGAAACAAGGTGCGTGAACTACCCCACCGTGACGTTGTCAAATAAGCTCCCAGCTAGAGGCGGATCTGCCCGTTCTTTGCAACGCTCACAAACTGTAATAACGCAGCATGCGCGCCCGACCCATGCAATTATCGAGAGTGTTCGTAAAAGACCGGCAGGCTCACATTGCCGCCAGCGGAAAGACGCCGAGACGGAGCCAGGACGACATGGGAGCCCACTGTGCCAACACTGGGGACGACATAGGAGCCCACCGTGCCAACACTGGGGCCCGCCGACACATCCAGCGAAGGGATGGTGGGTTACGCCCGCACACGCGGCAGAAGGTCTACTAGTTAGGTCAGTAGGTCAAAGGAATGGCAGCGTCACCGACACGACACCGACACGGCCGCTTATGAGCACTGGCGAGACGACGGAATGCACGACGAAGCATCGATTGGAACAGCAGCCAGTTATTGGGAGGCGCGCATATTTGTTTAGACAAAGAACAGTTGTGTTAAATGCCACACACGGGACTAATCGATGGGATGGGGCAAAGTTGACATGCGCGAACATCGACTCACTGGCACGCAAGCAGCGATAACGCCACAGATGCGAAGAAGAAAGGCTGAGGCGAGTCAAGCTTGGCTGCTCGGCTGGCGGTCGCAGAGGATAGGTGAAAAGTCGGAGCTAAGCAGGCGAAGGCATCGGAAAGCCGCCTGCCGCGGGTGGCTTATGAGGTGTGCGGTGACACTAGCCAAGAGGAAAGGCGACATTGAGAACAGCTTAGATAGTCATGGCAGTGTCTTTGTGCGCAAGCGGATTGCTCGCGGGTGCGGAAAGGCGACATTGAAAACGATAGAGCGGCTCCCAGTGGCGCGAAAGGCACAGATAGAAGCGAGAAGGAAGCTTAGAGGCACATCTGACACTTGACCGAAACTTAACGAGGCTTCGGGACAGACCCTTGCTCTCAAGCTCGGGGACAAATCGACATTGCTACCCCAGAGCGCAATGCTTTGTTGTGGGTACGCCCGGATAAATTATACTGGCCTTTGCTGTGTTGGCAAATATCCAACAAAGCGGGATGCTTGCTGAGGTATTGGCTCATTTTACAACTTTCCGTACTTCGGATGTTATTGTCACAGCGCGTTTAGACAAATATGGCTTTCCAATTTCAAGAAAATGCTATTTTGCATGGGGCATCAACCACTTAGTGAGTAATCTATGGGATAGCCCACGTGACTAAAACTCAAATGGCTCCTTGAGCTCAACTTAACGCAAAACTGACCTGTCGTGAATGAAAAGCAAAGAACCGCGGTATCACACCCGAATCCCCTTAATTCATGTGACGTCATTAACCGCCGCCCCAACGTCTCGGGCGGCACGGGACACCACCCGATCTTTTCTACCGAGGGAGCAGTAAGCAACAGCACACCTCGTCGTTTCGGTCAAGTGAACAGCGCAGCACAGAGCGGCCAACAGCGAACAGCGAACCTACTTGCTCGTCCCACCATCTGCACAGCACGCACACCCTTGCGGAACAGGGCCACTGCGGGAGACGAGGCCGTGTTAGCGGGATCACTGCAGGAGACGAGGCCGTGTTAGCGGGATCACTGCGGGCAACGAGGCCATGTTAGCAGGGCGGCGGGCCCGACGCCGGCGGTAGGCCGCGTGCGCTAGCGGGTGCTCGCGGGCTGCCGCGCCGCTGTCCCCAGCCGCTCCGAAGCACGATACAGCCGTTTGAGCCAGGCGGTGCCATGTGATGGTGAAGTTTTGTCGACGAATGACTCGACAGAGACCTGGTTGACGTACTTATCCGGTGAATCTTTCTGGAGCACGCCAGCTGAGGGCTGACATGAATAAATAGCCACTTCATGGCTACTGGGTATGAGGCGACCCAGCCCACACGCCTTTGTGTGCGCATTCGGAAATTCCAATGTGTCCACGCAAGTGAAAAAGTTAGCGCTTTTGGGAAACAGTTGATGTATGCCTTCCTAAAAATACCACATAATTGCAAGTTTTTTTACAGTTACAATTAGTTTGCCGAAGCAACAGACGCAAGGCAAACATGAACGTGGCGATCCGTGAGTGCTCCTCATGTTGCAGCCTCGTTTGCGACACAAACACTGTTAGGGGCTGTTTAGTAGGTACTGCTTGCACAACAGTCTGTTAGCCTCAGCCTAAGCGACAGCGACCGGCGTACTGGACGGGGCGAACAGGATTCACATAAGCTGTCTCGGTGGGCACGTTGTCACACAAACCACAATATGAGGTTCACAACGAAATCCGGCGCTGTTAATGATGGCGCGTAAAGTCGCAAATTAAGACCGATTGCTGTTACCCATAACAATGATACGATCAATGGAGTGAACTAGGAAGAGGTTGATCAACTTCCGATCTGATGTGTTTGCCAAGCTGCTTTCGAATAAAAAACCAAGACAGCAATGTGCACGTGGATGAGACATATAGCGTGTTTGGATAATCAGTCATCAATTGTGTAAAACAGAATTAATAAATCGCGTCCCGGATGATCACAGTCATCTTCCAGTCGGAAAGCCAGCTGCGAAACCGTTGCGCGGTCGAGTTTACAGATTGTAGGACTACCAATAGGCTAGGCAATTCACACATTTTATTATGGCACAAACGTGATTTTTGAGAAAAAAAAACCATCGCTCTAGCCAAGTGTCCAATCACGGAGCACGATGTGTGGGAGCGTTGCAAGGAAGTAAAAGAGCGTGCTTTAAGCACATGCTTAAAGCATTACAGGTCTGCGGACGGAATGGCTCATTCAGAAGCGCCACTGATAAAGTGGTCTGCCTGGATATTTGGTTCATCTGAAGTTGGGGAGACAATCGGCAAATTCTTTGGATTCCTTGGTTTCAGGCCTGTCAAAGACGTTTGCATGAGCCAGTCCAATGCTATGTAAGAGTTGACAAGGTAAGAGCTAAACAACGCACCTTTCCGAAATCCTATCTAAGTTGGCACGAAAATGGCTTGCGATAATACTACGCATGAATCGATCACATTAGGCAAAACATGGAGTTCAACTGCACATTTATCAGACGGAAGACATCACCAACTTTCCAGTTTGGCATACGTATTCCAACTATTCAAATTCATTTGGATTAGTGATTTTAATAGAGTTTGATTCTGATCAGGCCTTCCAGTCAACTTTCCAGTAAAATCCATCGCAATGCAGGGACAAATGTAAAAACCTCACTTCGTAGCCAATACAGCCTGTTTTTTAACAACATTGTTGAGATCACTGCCTCCTGTGCCCTTAAGCATGTTGTATAAAGTAACACCTTTTGCCTATTGAAGAAACCTAACCGACGCCCCTATAAAGAACTACCCCCAAAGCATTTATGAATCGCGGGGTAAAAAAATTATTAATTATATGCCGGCTGACATTCGATCCTTTGGGGTGCCTCACTGCACCTATGATGTATGTTTCTCTTATGCCTAGCTTAGTGATGCCATGCAATACGGTTGCTTATTCCAAGCAAGTTTCAGATTTTGATTTTTTCAGATTTGAGAAGTACAGGGAAATGACTCAAATGCATTTCCAGTTGCTCGCGTTGCCACTCCAAACCGAGACAAACACGCACAGCGAAAGTTGTCGAGCGCTAGCAGCCAGATTTCATGAGCTTTGGTAGATGCTGCATAACTGAAAACATATAAAAACAAGTTATGCCTATATACAATACTTGACGTCGGTAAACTAAATCAGAAGCTTTTCCCGCATCCAACAGTTGACACCTCCGAAATATGGTGTTCACGTAGTTGGGCGATGGCATTAAAATCCAGCATCGGTCCACCAATTAAACACGCGGTTAATGGTACAAGGGCTCTGAAATAAGAAAGTGAGCAAGCGAATCCCAGGGCATCTTGTTATTTGCTAACATGCCGCACACCCGAACGCTAAAACAACGCGACGGAGCGTTTTCGTGTAGTCCTGAACTCAATCTTAGTGAAAGCGGGGCGCAGCTAAGTGGTAGTCAAAACACCACACGGGGCGGTTAAAGCGACTTTAAGTGTCATATTCGAGAGCCGTTCAAGCGCGTCACCTCCCGGCGGCAGGGAGAGGGCGTGGGTTGCAGACCAATGAAGGGCCCCGGATCGTCTCCCGGCGGCAGGGAGAGGGTGTGGGTCGCAGACCAATGAAGGGCCGCGAGCGCTTGCCGGCAGCAGGGAGAGGGTGTAAGTCGCAGACCGATGAAGGGCCGCGGACAGGCGCGGGGTGTGAGCCGCAGACCAATGAAGGGCCGTGGACAGGCGCGGGGTGTGAGCCGCAGACCAATGAAGGGCCGTGGACAGGCGCGGGGTGTGAGTCGCAGACCAATGAAGGGCCGTGGACAGGCGCGGGGTGTGAGTCGCAGACCAATGAAGGGCCCCAGAGCGCCTCCCGGCAGCAGGGAGAGGGTGTGAGTCGCAGACCAATGAAGGGCCGTGGCGCGGGCGCGCTGATTACCGCTCTGTATCCAGCCGCCGTTTGCACTACGTCCCAGAAGGCCAGAGCTAAGCATTGTGGTGCCAATGTCTGCGAAGGTGGACGCCGATCAGTGTGGGTTCAGGCAGTACAAGTCGGGTCAAGTCAATTAATTTGTCAATGTCATCCGGTTAAAAGTCAGCCAACAAGCTCTGGAAATTGTGGGATCATCCCACACGGATCAGCTCATTATGCCGAGTCGAGTCAGTGCATGTTTCTGATGGTCAGGCCAGTGGCAAGTTGTGCCTGGCGAGGTGACATCCGGTCAGTTCAAAGAATGCGAGTGGAACCAGGCCCAGTGAGGTCAACCAAGTCACGGAAGTTCAGCCCGGCCCAGCACTGGTAATCGCCATCAGCCCAGCCCATAGGAACAGTTCGTCAGGAGAGTTCCTCCCGAGTCAAGCCAAGTACGTTCCGCCTTTTGTGACGTCATTCAGGTCAGATTTCCTCTGCTTCGGTCCGGAAGGTGTGGCCTAAAATAAGCCAGAAGCGGCTGAGTTGAACGCCCAGTGTCGGATGATGAGCAGGCCAATGCAAGATTACGTCACGTCCATGACGTGTCTACTAAAGCCGGGTCCAATTTGCGATGGGTGTCATTTTTACTTGCGGTCGGAGCATGTCGGTCTAGGCCAGACCGGGTTTCATCTCGTCTAATCAGATGGAATCCGTTTATGTCTGTCAGGTCTATGGCTGGGCATTGTGGTAGGATTCTCGGACTGTAGCGACGATGACACGTTCGAGGAAGGTTCAAAAGTTTGATTTGTCATATCATCCTGCCTTTGGCGAGTATGCGTTGGAGGAAATACCGATGTCGCAAGTAAGCAAGTTAACAGTATGGCGGTTCTACGTTAGTGTTACAGTCACTGACATGCTTGATATTTACCAGGTAAAAATGGCTTAGCTGACAAAAGCTTAAGTAACATATAAGAAAACTGCACCGACCGCTATGGTTGAGTATGCACATCTTCTCGTATTTGCTAAGTGAGCACAGCACGTTACAGAGAAATGACACAAAGGATAAAGATATTTAACAGATGGTGAGCGAAAAATGTTGCCGGTTTAAAAAACTATGATACGCTTTTATCGAAAGTCTCGAGCTAATAGTAAAAGCGGGATTTGCTTTAATTTGGGCCTATTCGTAATGCATGCTCTTTATGAACGGTTGTAGACGCCAAGAGCCTTGATGTTTGTTCCTGATAAGCAAAAGCACTAGACCCGCGTCAACTAATATAAAACGCATTCAGCACACAAAGCCGTGCGTTATACACACATCCACCCAGCCAATCCCGCTCGATGGCTTCGGAAGTCATGACGGCACGAATAATGGTAATAATTTGTGCCGACCGCGAAGTGAAGCGCAGTTGAAAATAATTTACCATAATTTAACTCAAATCAAACCACGTGTGAGGGTTGTCGACACATGAAGTAATTGGGCCGTGGCGTCATACAAGCAGCAAAAAAGGACGGACAAATCATGACACTGTGTGGTGCCTTCCCCCCCCCCGCCCCCCCCCCCCCCCTCTACCGCCCACTGCCGTTGCGTTGCGCTGTGCACGTCAAACAGCGCACCACATGCGTTGAGATATCTCTGTCCGAGAAACACCATCGCTACTGTTGAGAGCGAGCCCGTGAATGATGTCAGTCATCCCTCAAAGAGCGATAAGCGCTCTGCTCAATTCCATGGTCCATTACACAGCACCACAAACAACACCGACGAATATATGAAGATAAACGGAACAGCAGCCGAAACTCATTCGACGGAGTGGCCCGCCCGTCGCCATGGGGCTTCAGCACGCAACAAATACTCACAGTTTTTGCACTTGCACTTTTTGATGAGGGTCTCATCCTTGATGTCCTCGTGGCACGACTTGCAGTAGTACCAGGCCCTGAAGCAAGCCGCGTTGAAGGTAAAATTATAAATAGAAGGCTGTAACGTACTTCGCAGCGTGACGTGCCAAGTATCCTAGCAGCATGCCACTGACCTAACCTGCTTTGAAGCAAGTAATGTTAATGAGGTCGCAAGTTCGACCTCACGCATCCCTCGAGCAGATCTATTAGTGGGCACACATTGCAATGGCCAAGGTCCTCAGTCCACATGAAAGGATGACTGGAGGCTCTGTCTCCCGTTCATTCGATAACATGGTTTACAGCATTTCTAAAATAAGACAATGACATCACTGCTCCGCTCACAGACATAAGGGTCAATAAGGGTCATCAGTGACATAAAATAATTTATCCAATGAATTCGCAAAAAATAAGGTCCATCCGTGTTGGATGAGACCACAAGTGCACACAAGTAACGCGAATGGTCTGACCTATGCAGACATTTGGGGAAAATTATGGGGCGTTCATTACATATGTCTGGGATAGGACTTTCCAAGAACGTCTAGATGATGCTTAAAGGGGACGTTCCACATTGTACGTGGTTTTGAGCTGAAATATATATCTTGAAGATCATTATATACAGGTGACAGTCCAGCCCTTTTGAACACCAAAAACCACCTAGTACTGCGACACACGCCCTTAGAAGATGTGCAGACTATTTCGTGCGAACCAGTTCAAGGTCACCCGGAATCCATCACAGCATAGTGACGTCATCACAATTTCGCCGATCCACTGCCCATACGGCGGTCAAGGTTCAGTGATAAACGATGGTCGAGTCAACCATATCTGGCGTTTGTGAGCACGTTTATAGACATAACGGCGGTCAATTGACTCTTAACCGATATAGCGCGAGCCGCGCAAGATTATAACAAGAGGTACGTTTTGTGTTACATCATGCAAGAAATTAGGCATTCTCTCCAGTCCCTACGGAAATCAGAATAATAATCGAATAGGTTAAGAACAGAGCTATAACCGAATACGTGAATGCAAGTAAGTACCTTAAGTGACGGATAGATATTAAGAACACCACGATAAACGGCCAAAACACGAGCAACCGACAATCTTTGGTTCAGAACACATTCAGCACCACTGCGTGCCACCTATTGGGAGATTGAAGAACTGTAAGTGGGTGCTGTCATACAAACAGTTCATGACGCTGTCAAACAAAGACATAGAGGGGAGATGATTTACCAGTAAGAGAAAGTTTGTTGTCTAAAGCAGTCTTCCCAACTTGAAAGTATACCAGCAGTTCTAAGTCAGCTTATTCCATCATATCTAATGCTTCTTTCAATCTCTTCAAAGATGGAAGATTCCCTTTACATACGTGCCACAAAATACCATGAGATACTTCTATTGCCATATACGTTTTCACATGGATATTTTTGCCGATGAGAAGAAGATCAACTGAGGTTCAAAGCTGTTTTAGTCTCTTTCAGGGGTTCTAACTATGTTCTTGGCAAAAGACAAACAAATGTGAAGAGGCTAGGTAGGAATGAATGGGAACGAAAAGTGGGTGGCATTGCGAGGAAGCCTGTCCTCATATTCCCGTAAGCAGCGACAGAGTTGAATGAAAAAGTGCATGGTGAAAGCCTCTGGATGAAAGTCTCGCTTACGTTTAGCGTCATACTCCCATGCGGCCGCTCGTGAAAGATCGTGCAGGGCAATAGGTAGTATGAATAACTTTTTGAGTGTGGTCCTTGACGCTTCGCGGTATTCGACTAATTTTTGTTACCCAACTTGCCTCGTTAAAGACTGGCACGGAACGTCAGAAGTGTTTCCTTAACAAGGACTGATTCGGTGTCTTACCACCTTGTACCGTCATTGATTGACCTGGGGTATCCCACCTTAGCCATAATCAGTGCACGACTAGGAGTATTCAGCACCTCTCCCCCCCCCCCCCCCCCCCCAACTCGTCCTTCCCTGACCAAGAGCATGCAACCACATAAGCACTTCTTTCATCGCTAACTTCATGCTCCTTCCAAGAGCATCTGTTACATGATTTCGTATCGCGCCATCTAACCTCGCCCAAAGCAAGGAGAACATGTCACGCCTAGCCCCCTCACCGTTTGACCTCGTCCGCCGACTGGGCGATGAAGAAGCCCTGCGTGTTCGGCTGCAGCTTGATGTGGCGGGGGTTAATGGCGATCTTGTTGTCGGCTCCATCGTCACCGCGAGCTTCGATCGCCAGCAGCAGCAGCTTCAGCTTCGTAAAGCACAATCTGCCGGAGCGTAGGTGGTGAGGCCGCCTGCTCACGAGCTGTGGTTGGCCATTTAAAGACCAAATCCTTTTTATGATTCTACTCCCTTATGACCTATTATCATTGATCAGTCAACATACCTATAACGATTTTATGTCTCACAAACGTGCGATAATGGCTGACTGGTCCGCCAGCAGGCAAGCGCAGCGCCGGTCGGACGCCAAATGTAGCAGTTGGTGTTCATTTAGGATATTATTTCCTGTATGAATGTAATAAGGCAACACAGTGATCGAAAGGCGCGTCGGGCACTTTGACCGGTGTAAGAAAAGAATATCTTAATCATGAAGTAGCTACAAAATGACAATAAACGAATTACTGGGAAAGAAAATATAAACATCGTTTTTTATTAGAATCGTCGTCGCGGTTAACTTATTGGCTTACCGTTCAAGACGTTCGCGTGCAGTCACCTGAGCTATGCACAATTCAAGGAGGTCCGAGTGCAAGAAGGAGTAACTAGGCAAATGGCACCCTATGCCCCAACGCTTACGACGACATGCACACACGGTATTGCCAGCCATGCAGCATGCATTTGTATTATGTGCTTCGATATCGTTTACCGGAAATCGGACTGCGCCAGTGTGATTTGCAAATGGTGATCACACTTTTTTGGTACCTCCCACCAAGCAGAATTTGGTCTCTCCATGGCCAAAATAAGCGTAAAGGGATCCATGATAAACAGCTAATAATCGGTCAACAGCTTGCTCACTAGCATCAGAGCGCACAAAATCTGGAAACCTTCTGCCTGCATCATAAGTTTCCCGCTACACGCTTAGTCAAAATTATTCTAACCACTGCCAAGCCATTGGATGTAAGTGCCTATGTCTCCACCCCAGGGATAGTAGCCAAGGCAAACAGCTGGCCAGGAAACAGATGAGTGGGACATCTCCCAGATCAAACGCTGCGGACATAGAACAAGTCCGCAGCTGGCCAATCGTGAACGTATTGCCGGCGAAGCAGCGTGTGAAGAAACAGCTGATCAATCAGCTAACAACGCGGGCAGACTGAGTAACCACCACTCATTCTGGTGTTCTGTTTGTGATGCTTGCGAGCTGGGAGCAGGTGGTCCGCAGTGTGAGTCGCGGCCACCAAATTATGGTGCGTGGATGATCAGTGTACGTCTTCAAGGTAAAGTACATTCGGAAAGCCCCAAAACAGAAAAGCCCAGAAAAGCGAGAAAAAAGCCCAGAAATTCTAAGCACTGGTGTCAAAAGTGCGACGTACATTGCAACGGGCGCTATCCCTGGGTTATTTAGCCCCCAGGGTCTGTCAAAAAGAGGCTTAAATGCACTTGTATAATAGCAAATTGTTGCACGTGATGCAAGTTCTGCTCACTTGTATTCGTCATTTGTTCCTAGCGTTTAGAGTGTAGCTTTGACCGAGTATACATGTGACGGCGTATCTACTGATGAAACTGTCATCAAATTCGTTCTTTCAATGACTCCGCAAGATCTCGAATCCTTCAATGACCGAAAACGTGTTCGCCGGAGAGCTTGGGTTTGACTGCTACGACGAGAGTCTTTACTTACAGGGTGATCTGGCTGAAGATTTTCGGCCGACTCAGACCAATTTATGTTATTAAGTCATGACATAAAAACTGGTTAAGTACACCCATGGCAAAAATGGGGACAAACATCCAACTAAACAGCTTCTACATTCAAGGCAAGCATCATGCTGTTAATTAGAGGTAGCAGCAAAGCCATTCAGCTTAACTCGTTAATGGGGTGTCACCGTCAAATGGTCTAAGTGAAACAACAGCCAATACGTTTTAAGCGGTCTAATTGGGCACAAACACGCATGTCAAGTTTATATTTACGTCTGGCCAGAAAAATTTTGATGAATATTTTCGAAGAGTTAAAAGGTTGTGTTATTACCTGATCCGAGATTGCTCCGGATTCTGGGCAACAATGTGCAACATGGCGATCCACGGTCCCGTCAACTAAACAGCCTCGCAAACTAACGTGTCGCCCGGGGCGCTGGTGGGCAGCCGACATGCAAACTGGGTCGTGGCGATTTGCGCGCCATCTACCGACGGCGGGCAAACTCACTCTGAAGCCATGGGGAATGTCATGCCCACAAACGAGGGACTGAGCGTTTCTGTGTACATCTCGCAGCCTGTTCCCTGCAGGTAGTCATTCTGCCAGGCTTGCGTGTCCGGAGACTGCGAAACGACGGCACTTCCTCAGCTTGAGACTCCACCCCACCCCACATGTGCATTCATCAACGCAGGCGAAGGGATATTTCGCTGCCCCCCCCCCCCCCGCGCAATCACAACACCGAGCTTTGGAGATAAAACAGCTCCATAAGCCCAGCTTTGGAGATGAAATAGCTTGCTTCTTATGGGGCAGCATTTCATATCTCGTCATTTCAGCAGATGGTCATGGCGTAAATCACGCTTCTACTTTCAAGTGGCCACGCTACTCGGCAGGGGCATTTGTGCACTGGAGCATCACCTAACCGGAACAATATTTTTTTAACGCACGGTCCTCTTAATCGAGGTGTCCTCAACGCGAGGGCACGCCAAAACAGAAGATTCCCTCATTAGGACTCGGAATTATTTACTCGGACTCGGCCTCTACCCGGAGTGGACTCGGGAGAAGCTTTTCTCGGTCGGGACACTCTTCTCAGGAAGGTCATAAGGGTCATAGAGATAAAATATTGGCCCCCAAGGCAAGATCAACTGTGGACCACCTGCGTCCTTTTTGGGCCCGAAACTTTTCATTCAAATTTTGCATGTCTATAGTAAACCAACACAGTAACAAGGTAGACCCAAAAACACAGGAGACCAGAAGTGATGAAAAGAAATGTCATCAGACTTGCAAAAGTTGGGGAAAAGCAGATCAAGCGCTCTCGTGGAAGTAAAGCGCACGCATACCGGGGGAGAGCAATGCCAAACATCCGTAAATTTTATCGGGAAAGCTCGATTTGTCAATTTGTGTCCCGCATTCACGTTCGCAAAGAGCGAGATAGCGAGAGAGCAGGAGACAGAGCGAGAGAGAGAGAGAGAGAGAGAGAGAGAGAGAGAGAGAGAGAGAGAGAGAGAGAGAGAGAGAGAGAGAGAGAGAGAGAGAGAGAGAGAGAGAGAGAGGAGAGAGAAGAAAGAAAGAAAGAAAGAAAGAAAGAAAGAGAGAGAGGGAGAGAGAGAAGAGAGAGGAGAGAGACAGAGAGATAGAGCGAGAGAGAAAGAGAGAAGAGAAAGAGAAAGGGAGAGAGAGAGAGAGGGAAAGAGAGAGACCTATAGCATCGTACACACTGGGCTGAACCAACTCGAACCAAAGTTTTTCCACGGTGTTGCTGCGCCTGAAGCCATCGAAATATATTATAGGTTGCAATCTCGTACACATCCCTGTGAAATCAAATTGTAAATGCACAGCACACGTGCTGAAAGTTCCAACACAGTGTAAACATCACGGTGCGCTTGGCAAGTGTCACGCGGGATCATCAGTGAGAGAACGAGACACTCAGTTGAATACCACACAAAAATCTCTAGTTTCTACATTGGCTTGACCGTCGGACATTCGCAAACACACAAACACTGCCGAGCATGTAAAGCGCTGCAAACCACTGCAGATGTGACTTATGTACCACATCAGCAGTAGATGGCAAAGGCGGTCCCTGCGTAAATGTCCAGAGGGCAAAACTGGGAGTGGCGCATGAAGAAAGCAAAGCGTTGAATGCGGCAGCTTGTGATACCGAACACCTTTGCACCAGTCTAATTACAGGGGAACCGGTCTGCCTATGTATGATTCTTCCTGGAAGTCGTCCAGTCTTCAAGTGTCATTAGAGATCAGATGATGATGGACCACAAGTCAAATTACGTTTCGATTGCATATGCACTATAAAGGAAATAGAAGGATGTAACGACATGAAAGACCCATGGGCTTATTCTTGTCACGAAATATATGCACTTATAGGATAAATGACCTGCTCTCGTCTCGTCAGTCACAGCCGAACTTATCAAAGATCTAAGCAAATTCAAATGGAACTGAGCGTGCGGAACTGAGCTCTGTCAAACACGCCAGCTTGTGCATCCCCGTTGCAACAAAAATAACTGTTTCCACAATCTCCTATGCCTTACAATTACGACCCAGGGCTTAGTTACAGTCCGCGTGGCTGAGGACCGTAACTAACAGCCAAGCTACTTCCAAAATAATTTGCTCTCGGCCCTTTCCGCCCCTTTCGACCCATTTTGCCCCTCTATCGACTGATGCAAAGGCCCGGCAATGGCGGTGGTACGGCAGGGTGCTCTTACTCCGCAGCCTCGGCAAAGCTCGCGTCGCAAAAGGTAGGCCCCAAGGGCCCCACGTGGATGTTGAAATCTGCGCCCAGCTTGTAATGATCCTTCCAGCGAGGGGGGGCCTCTTCGTCATCGTCATCATGGTCCTGCATCAGCAGGTGGGGATCAGCAAGCGACAGCAGGCGCAATCTTCAGGACGTCAGCAGAGGTTCAGTGCATAGGATCACTAGGGGTCAGAAGGTGATCAGCAGGGGTCACCACGGATCAACACCAGCGGAATATGGCCAGTCAGATATCTGCTAGCTGGCCGGGATGTCTGGTAGGAGCAGGACAGACCTGGGGGCTGCGACAGTACTGCCGATTTAAGCGGAAGCGGAGGTTACAGTGCTTGTGGACCGATGGTGACAGCACTTGTGGACCGGTGGTGACAGCGCTTGCAGACCGGTGGCGATAACAGCATGTCACTTGATGTCATCTGATGTCATCTGCTTGTGGTAAAAGTGTCATCTGATGGCCCAGATGACAGCTTTCACCACTATTTATAGGGAATTACAGCAGTGGTGTCAAATGTTCAGGTGACCTATTTACGGAGAGTAGCAGTTGCCATGGTAGTAGCGTTGGCAAACGTGGCTGAGTGCGAGGTTGCAAGAACAAACTCGCAGGTTGCAGGGCCAGCTTGATCTACACAGAGTTAAGCTGTTGATCAATCAGCGAAAATTCCCACTAACGTAGCTCTTCTGTGTGGGATCGTCTGTCGCCTGTGGTTTTTCCATCATCGCCTTTCAACAACAGCAGGGGATGACTTAGAAGCGAAAAGAGTGCTCACGTTTGAGATTAGCTTCGCGGAATCCCCGTGTTAAGCACGCTCCTCATGCTGCCCCTGTGGCCGAGCCTGTGATTTCTTTTGTTTTGGCACGTCAGTAAAAGCGATTTGTCTATGTGATAAAAGCCTCCGAGGACAAAACTGTGCCTCGCACAGACAAAGTCCGCGAAATATATCATAACACCATACTATAGCGGGCAAGGCAGACTTCGTCAGAAATGTATACGCAAAATGTCTGTAACTTGCCAGTCCGTGCCACTCCATCCTGGTGGTACTGCCTGGGCCCTGTGGGCTTGTCCACGTACTTGTCACATCGTTCCCTATATCCGACCATACGAACCACATTGCAAGTCTCGCTCGGCTAGTAAGGTACGTCGTAACTTGACCCAACCCTGACCCTTAGCAGGCGTCCCAGTCACGACGACCCTGGAACTTGCGTCCAGATATGATGACCTGGTTCAAACACACTGGAAACCGCTTGCACGCTGATGATTGCACTTATGATTGCACCGGCTGTACATTGATGATCGGTGACAACGCTGTTGAGTTCAGTGATCGGGAACACGTGTGAGCGTTTCACTGCTTGCTTTTCGTTCCGTTCTCTTTGCAGACGAAAAGGAAGGAATTCATATCGTTTCCTCGACGTGTCCACACCGATCGGTTGAAGCGCTGACTAACTCCTGGCTGACATTCGTCACGTGCAATCGCCTGAGACATTTTTTAAAAAATGAATGGCGTCGAAGTTCTGTTTTGAATAGGCGGTTAGCTCAAGTCGCGTGGTACCATGGAGATGTCAGCATCTGTAATCCGCATGCTGCCAGCAAACTCCATCGCCATCATCATCATCAGCAGCAGCATCATCACCATCACCAGCACTTCATTATCCAGAAGCATTCTCTCTTTTCACCCAACTCATAATCGGCCAGCAAAACCCACGACCGTCGGCAAACTCCATGGCCGTCACCGAGCTTCACGAGCTTCGCAAGCGCACTGCATGACCCGCCGCAAGCGATCCGACCATGGAGGAACACCACCACCAAACGCAAACCTTGTGGCTGGCAAGGAGCTTCCTCAGAGAGGGCATGCAGCAAGCTGGAGTCAGCCAGTACCACATCCCCATGGTTCAGTGCCGGAAAGCAGCATCTCCGATATCGCACCCAGACACTCCGACGTCATACTCAGACACTCCGTCACACTCAGATACTCAGAGATCACACTCCGACACTCCGGAGTCACGCCAACACATTCGGACGTTGCACTCAGGCACTCGGACGTCACGCTCAAATGAGCACACTCAGATCCACTCTCGGGCACACGCTCGCACCCATTTCGAGGCATTTGCACCGATTTCGCGTCAAGCGAGGCTTGATTTGTAGATAATGAAGGCAAATGGAGGCTTACATGCGCTGAAATTCATGTCACGAATAATCAGTTCCACTCACGCATGTAAACTCTATTCTCGGATATTCATGCCTTGCAAGCTCAGATTTTTTCTGACCTTAGAGGCATCCGTCACTCCCAGACATCTGATTCTGACACAAAGTCACCCATACCTTACTGCGGTTATGTTTTACGCTTTGGCACTTGGTCCCGAATCTACACGTATCACTTGCATTGTGATTTTCGCAGATAAGATCTAATTTTAGAGCCGGATTTTTTTCTCGGCACACCTAACGGGACACTTCACATCCAGACTTTTCTCCACATACCCGGTCTCCCTGTTCTAAAAAAGACTGGTAATCAGACATGTTCGTCCAACGCTCACATGTCTGTCTCAGACACTCCAACATATACATCCAGACACTGGACAATCAAGTCCAAAGCTCAGACACTCGAACAGACACTCCCATCATGACGTCTGACCTCACCGAGCAACTCATTACATTCGCCCACGTTCCAGCTCCGTCGCACTCACCCGCACCCCAGCACTCAGCCAGACACCCACCCGGGCACTCCCCGAACGTCACGCGGCAAGACCTCACTTACTCAGCCGATTGCGCAAAGGTCAGGTCGGTGAAGGCAGCACCCAGCCTCTCGTCATAAATCTCCATTCCAGCTCCGCGAAGGTACGCATGGAGCCAGTCGCCTTTTTCCGCGTGCTAAAATCGTGAGGCGTGACGTCAGTGTGACGTCAGCGCTTGACGTCAGGATGCCAACGCTCACGGACTAGGGTGCCTCAGGGCAAATCAGCTGACACCACGCGCCAGCCGTGGCTGCGACTGGCAATGCTGACGTGGAAGCGCCAGAGAGAGAGATGGGTGTTCCAGGTCTGGCAACGAAAACTTGCAGTGGTCGAAGAGGTGAACATTTTGTAGTCAGCAACAAGACAAAATTTGTTATGTTCCGGATGCAGTAAGCTGGCAATAAGCATGCGTTTTGAAGCGTCTGGTGAAACTGTAAGCAGATATTCTACTTTGAACCATGGTATTTTAGAGCGCGTGAAATGGCGTTCGTATAGTGGGACTCTTCCATAACTATACTGCAAAAGAAACAAATGAAAAGTTTGTTACATCTTAGAGAAGGTCTGTCGGCGTGCCG